CGAGGTTCCTGCCCTGTTTGAGTTCCTGTCCTGACTTCCTTCAACATTGGACTATAATGTGGGAGTGTAAACCAAATAAACCCTTTCCTCCTCGACTTGCTTTTTGGCCATGGTGTTTCATTGCAGCAATAGAAACCCTAATTGAGACCAAGAGTGTCTTTAACTTACAGTAGCCTACATGCCAGAGCTTGGTATTCTGGGATAACATGTTCTAACTTCTTTCTTTAAGTTAACATACAAAGTAATAGGTTTCATTATAATATCTCACACGCATGTATCAATACAGTTTGTTTTTTATTAATCATCCTCCCTCACTGCCTTTTTCTTTAACCTCTCATTTTTCCCTGTTTTGGTTTAGTGTTTGTGTGTCTATCTGTCTGGCATTCTCTCCCACTACATTGTGTGTGTTATGAATATATATATGTGTGTGTATATATATATACATATATATATATATGAGTGTGTGTATTATATATACACATAATACATACATACTGCATGCAAGAGAAAACGTATCTTTCTGAAACTGGCTATTGTGAATAAAGTATCAGTGAACTGAGATGTGCACGTATCTCTGTGGTATGTTGACTTACAGTCATTGGGTGTCTACCAGGAGTATTATAGCTGGATCATATGGTAATTCTAAGGCACATATGTTTGAATGCTTGGCCCCCAGTTGGTGGAAGTATTTGAGGAAGATTAAGCCTTGTTGGTGGAAGTATGTCATAGGGGTGGACTTTAAGAGCTTTAAAAACATACATCGTTTCTAGTATGTTCTCTTTGCCTCTTGATTGTTGATCAAGAAGTAAGCGCTCAGCTGTTCCTGCCACCATGTCTTTGTCCTGCTATTATGGACTCTAACCCTCTGAAATTATAAGCCCAATTAAATGCTGTTTAAATAAGTTGGCTTCTTGGTCATGGTGTTTTGTCACAGCAGTAGAAAAATAACTGAAAGACCCATTCCCACCCCGGTACTGATTTCTGATTTCTGCAGTGTCTGTACAAGTTTTTGTCCCAGTGCATAAGGGTTGTTCTTTCCCTGTATTCTTACCCACACTTGCTGGTGTTTGTTTCCTTGATGATGGCCATGCTCGCTGTGGTAAGATAAAACCTCGGAGCAGTTTTAATTAGCTTTTCCTTAATGCTTAAGGATGCTCAACACCTTTTCAAATATGTATTGACTTAGAATTTCTTCTTTTGAAAACTATCTAGTTAGTTCATTAACCCATTTATTCGTTGAATGATTTGAGGCTTTGTTATTTAGCTTTTGCAGTTGTTTGTATATTCTGTGTATGAACCCTTGTCTAATTAGAAGTTTATCTTTCTTCCCATTCTGTGTGATGTCTCTTCAGTCTAGTAATTGCTTGCTGTGCAAAAATTAATTTTATGGAATCCCATTAGTTCTTTCAACTTCATTTTGAAGCTGGGGTACACAAAGTGTAGGGAGGTCATGGGCCTCTGAGGTTCCCTGTGACCCTTCAAGAGGATTCTGGATGTCATAACGTTTTTCAGTTACTACTAAGATGGCATTGCATTGCCTTTTCCACTGTATTGATCGTGGTACAAAAGTTATGGTAGGCAAAATCTTACAGTGTTGCCATAAATCAAGGTAGAAACTTCAGTCCAGACTTCTAGCTACATCCCATCCCTGTAAAAAGTCAAGTCAGTTTTACTTAAGACTATTCCTAATAAGGCAGGGAACAATTCTAATTTTATTAAATTTCAGCTTGAGGACACGTCCATTTAATATTCTATGTAATAAAATGGGGACGGATCATTTCTTTGGTATGCAGTGGAAGTACAGTGAGAGGCTTTGGAAAAAGCCTCTCATGAATAGCTGTTTGTCAGCTAAGACTCCCAATACCTTCCCACCCACAAGAAACCGTTTTTACTAAGACAAACTGACAACTATTGTTATCAGATTCAGCAGACTTTTTTTTTTAATGAGAAAAGTAAGATTGACACTTTAAAACCTGACAATATTTGTTGTCAGTAATAAATTGGAATTTTCAAATGGAAATGGAATTTTGGAAAACTTGTATCTACCATTCTATGGCAGCCCCCCAGTACTTCAGGACTTTTTGGATGAGATTGCTGGTGGGCCATATGAATTAATACAGTTTGTTTACACTATATGGCATTCATATTGTGTAATGAAATAACCTTTAGAAGATCTATAAAACTGATGGTGCTTAAAAATCATCCACAGGTAAAGATTCGCTCAAAGGGCAAAGGGGACCGATGGATTTTAATGGAATGTAGCACTGAACATTCGGCCCTCTTGTTTGGGTTTCCATGCAGTAGCTAACCTTTCAGAAATACCACTGGGAAAAGTTTGGTACTGTAGCAGCGTAGACTAGTAGAATAAATGCAGAAGTATGTGTGAGAATCCAGCTGGCATCACTGAGCACAATGTTAAAGAAGTTTACAAAGTTGTGTCGGTCTTCTAGGAGTTTTGTTGTTGTGGCTGATTCTTTTTGGGAGGTGGTGGGAAGCCATTGTTTCTCATGAAGATGTTCATGTTATCATGGAATAAGTTCATTTTGGTTTTAATGAATCAGTAAGGAAGTACTTTAGAACTGTGTTTTAATTTATAAGATAATATAATAAATATAACCTACATAAACATGTTTTTAATGTAAATTGTTTTTTTTGTTTGTTTGTTTGTTTTTTTACATTTTGGGACCTGAATTAAGAGCCTCATGCATGATAAGTATGTGAGATACCACTGAGACATAGCCGTGGAAGATTCCTTTAAAATATTTTAAACAATGTACTTCAATAACATCAAACTTTTTAATTTTCTCAGTTTTAATTTCTGAGACAGTGCAAGGAAAGTATCCCACATAAATGTATTTTTTGGAGTCTTTAATCTCTTTTAACAGTAAATAGTGACTCTGAGTCCTAAAGGTTTGAAGACTATTTCTTGGCAGGGTCTTGGTCCCTTGACTCTGAGTGTTTGACCATGTGTACCTGGTCTCCTTGGTGCTCTGTGGACTGAGAAAGAGTGAGAGAAGCTGAGCACAGCGTGGATTAGGGACAATGGGCTGCATGGAAGGTGCCCGAGTCTTAGAGGAAACCAAGGAAGGGCTTTGTCCAGGAAACAAGCACATCTGTCCACCAGGCCAGGGCACAGCATGGGAAGACTTCAGGGAGACTCCCTCTGTGTGCCCGCGGTAACTAAGGGCCTGCTACTAAACTGTCCCTCATGGCTGTGTTTTGTTTCAAGTCAGCTTGACCATTGTGGCTGCTGTTTGGGTTTTATTCCTCCACATTCCCTCAGATGTCGTGGTTCTTTTCGTCCCATCTCTAAAGTTGCTTTAAAGCTCTTGACGGGCTTCGACACCAGCCACTCGGATCGTTTTGTCACCAGCTGTGGCGGCAGTTTCTCCTCAGCTGCTGTCACTCACCTGCTTACTAAACCCATGGTTTGTGCTGCCAGTCAGTGAAATGCGGAAGAGCCTCACGAGAGAGAGGGAAAGAGAGGGAACGTGTCAGGGCAGAAGAAGGGACAGCTGTAATGGAACAAGAAAGTAAGGGGTGGGAGCGGTTCAGTGCTGATGTGACGAGTGCCACCAGGAAGTGTCCCCTGAAATGCCTACTGGGCTGCCCTTCCTTGTTGGAAGTGAGGCGAAGCAGAGACAGAAAACTGGTCTTCCCTGAGTTGCTCAACTGTCAAGGAAAGTTAGAGGTGTCGTTGGACAGGCACAACATAGAATCTTTGCTATAAATGCTGCCTGGTTTTACCCACCTTCAAGGCACTGATTTGACATCAGCAAAATTTATACTGAATGTTAGGTTAGGTTAGAGACAGTTATTATAATGTCTTCACACATGTAAAATGTATTTTGACTGTGTTCTTACTTAATGAAAAACGATACATTTGACAAAGGCAGATTTCATGTACCTGCTGTTTGAACACTGTACATACACAGTCCATGCTTAGCAGGTTAATGGTGGTGTTTGCAAAGGGGTACAAGAAGCTATTAATAGTTGAAATCATTTAGCATGAATTGAGCCTAGAAATTTTTATGTGACCTGTTGATAATTAATCATACATCAACCCCCCCCTTAGCATTTCTGTAATCTCCAGTTCTGATCAATGTATTATAAGGTGAAGAAGAAACTTAAAAACAGTGATCTCCTCCCACTGTGTGTGTGTGTGTGTGTGTGTGTGTGTGTGTGTGTGTGTGTGTGTGTGTGGGTGTCTGTGTGTGTGTACACGTGTGCACACAGGTATGTATCCATGCATGTACATGTATGGATAAAAGAAATGAACAGGGATGAAACTAACAAAGTAGGACTAATGAAATGACCCCAATAGACAGTGGCTTATTTTCAATATCTTCTGATCTTGATGTAATAGGAAAAACAAAGTTTGGACACACTATGATTTGGGCTAACTTAAGGTCACTAAGATGTGTTAAAATAATAGGAATAAAATGTGGCTGAAGGAAAGAATTCTGTTACAATACTATGTTAGTCATATTTTGCCCAAACAAACGTACTTCAGGTCACAAGCTTAGGAAGAGAAAATGTTTACTTTCACTAACAGATTTGAAGGTTCCAGTCCATGACTGGTCAGTCCCATTCATTGATCTGCGTCTGTGATGGGGTAGCTTATCATACCAAGAATACATGGCAGAGCAGAACCACTAGTCATACAGCCAGGAAACAGTGGCAGGGAGAAGTGGGCTGGAATCTCACTTTTCCTTTTTAACGGCATGTTCCCAGGCACCTAAGAATTCCCACTTAGGAGGCTGAAGCAGATAGAATATGGGTTTCATTCTTAACTCTAGGTGGGCACAGTTATATATTAATGGATAGCACATCTCTCCACACCTCCGCTGTTTGAAGGCATCAGGACTAGATTTCTAACACCATTTGATGACGCAGTTCTGGGGGTCTCTCCTTAAAGAGGAGCCGGTGACCTGGAGGGGATCTGAGCTCACCCATGCAGGTTCTGAATCTGACACTGACAGTTTCTTCTTCCTCCTCAGGCTTCCGGCTGCGATGGGGCGGAGATTCCCGATGAAGTAAAGCTGATCGGGTTTGCTCAACTGAGTGTGAGCTGATGTATGTCCCCCGCTGTCACCCTCATCTATCATGCCCCCTCCTCTTCCAGCCCCCCCCCTTGCCTCCTTCTCCCCTCCCCTTCACTCCCAGTTCCCAACAAAATAAGAAGATTGTGAAGAGGCTGGCTTCGATGACGTGGGATAAAAAAAAAAAATACTTTTTTTACAAACTTACAGCACTCTGAGTTCTGCTTTCTTCTCCAGCAATCCACAGTCTGAGAACAGGCGAGTGCCGCTGCCCGACGGTTGCCGACTTCTTTCCAGAAAGCTGTTTAATATTCTTAGCAGTCTCAATTTGGATAGCCCGTAAGAGAGGAGTCTGAAACACACTCAGGTGGTCCTGTCTCTTGCTAACAAAAGGAATCTTCTACCTGAAGCCTTTTCTCCTTCTATTGTATTTCTGTTTAATACTTTAATTGTACATCTGACGATACTGCCTCTCTTATGTTGTACTTAGAAATTAATATACTTATAAAATTCAGATTTATTAGCCAAACTTGAATTCTAGTTTTAAAACTGACTGTGAATTTTATTTTTCATATATTTATGCTTTCCACACCTTAGCGATGAGGGAACCAGTTTTCATCCTATGCTTCCTGCAGTTGATCTCTGGTTATTTAAACCAAAATTTGAGGTCTATCTTTGGAGTATTTGTAACTTCTAATTTTTGAAATGACTGAATTAAGAATTTGGATGTTTGCTCTTTTGGTTTGTTTGCCTAAAATCCAGTCCACAATCCAGTTGTCTCTTGGGAGAGGGAGGTGCCTTGCAAACTTTCATATTACGAATGTGCCTGAGGCTGCTTTACTCTGGAATAGTCTCAGATCTAAAACCTGCACTCCATAAGGCGGCATACTTAAATTTTGCTTCATCAGAACATTTAGAGTACTATAAAAATGTTGCCATTCTGTTAGATTGTTAACTACACCCCTGTCTCTGATTTGGCTCTCCTGAGGTGACGGGATTTGTTATTTTTAAGGTGATAACATGACAGCACCAGAATCTGAGTTTTACTTGAAACTCTGCAGAATACACAGATGGTGTGAAAATAATAGAAAGGGTTTTGTGCAATGACAAAAGGTAAAATTGCTGTAAACATTCAAGAATAAATATTTCCAACCCAAGAACCTTCTGCTTGACTATGTATTATGAACCTAGTGAACGTTAGGATTTTCAAATTTCGAGTCTAAACCTTCGAGGAGGTGGGCTCCCAGGATGGTACCATTGCTCTTTCCTAGCTAACCCTAGATATGGCAGCTCTTTAATGTACTTTAAAAGCAAATATATATTACTAAGGAAAGAAGTTATTTATAATTGCCTTGTCATAATTGTTAAGGTGTTCTAGAACCATTTGCATACAATTTAATGTAATTCCATTCCATTCTGTTGTTTACACAATTACTCAAAGATAACTGCAAAGGTAAAAGGAAAATAAAAGTGTATTGCACAGTGCAGTGGTGTCTCCTCCTTTCCCTCCCCCCTCCACCTCTCCTCCAAGAGTCCCTGCACTGCAATTCAACACCGTCCTCAGATGCCTTCACAAGCTGACTCGTGAGAAGAGCCCCCAGGAAGAATGGCATGTCTGTGCCATCAGTCACAGAGCACAGGTTTTGCTGATTAATTGAAACATTCACACCCCATTTAGACAGACAGTCTTTGAAACCATTGGGGCTTCAAGGAACAAAAGAGAACAAGTCTTTCCAACTACTTCCCCATTCACATTAGTGCTAGGAATACTGAGGACAGTCCAGAGTAGTTAAGTAACTTACAGGGCACTTCACAGAGATGCTTGCAATGCTGGGCATGCTGGATCCTGGTTTCCTGGCCTAAAGAACACATTCTTAACAGTTTTCCGTACAACTTGGGAATAAGAACAGTCCCAGAAGTTGAAGGTAAGTCCCCATTGCTAAAGACTCCACACACTTTGGACATTGGATATGGAGGACTTGACCTAGAATTAATCTCAAATCCTCCTCTTGGGAGGTTTGCCTTTATAGTGCCAGGAGTTGCTCTGCAACCTAAGGGAGGAAGTCAATCATTGGTCCTCCCCAGGTGTGACAGCTATGAACCACAACGAGCACCAGCATGGCAAGCTACCCCTAAAGGTGCAACAGTGGCCCTCACCTCTCCGAGGAAACTAACCACTCCCTAAGGGTACTCAAGGCCCGCTTAACAGGTGGGAAATCATACACAACAACACATGGCTAGTGAGGTCATGAATCTTAGAGAAGAAACCTATTACTACCACTTTGCTAAGCCAACATAATTCCAATCTGCATTCTAAATACTTACTTATCCTTATACCCCTTAGTGTAGCTCTTACCTCTCACCAAAGAAGCTTCTTTCTGCTGCAGAAGGTGACCACTGCAGAAAGCCAAGACTAGTTAAAATGCAGAGAAGAACTGACTGTGTGGAGGTCCTTTGCTCCAAGTAATATATCTTACAACATAGCTCCTGTAATTAACTAGGTCTCAGGGAACATCTTGGAAAAGAGGACAGGAAGACTGTCAGAGCCAGGAGGCCAGGAAGTCTGTGAGATTGTGCCTCCTAGGTGTGGCAGGGAAGTTCCTCATATGAAATCTCAACAGCATGCATACCTAAACAAGCCCCGAACGATGCCAGCACCAGTTGACATCCTGACATAGATGGGAAATCTCACAGGGCTCTATGATGAAGAGAGCAACAAGCAATTAACAACTCCTGAGAGAGGGATAATTAGCTTCCCCAGGGATGAGCCTGACTGGGTGTCCAGTCTACAGTGGTGAGCATCATGTGCAGGCAACACAAATGGACTCAACAGATTAAACTTACATTGTTACTCATTTAGATGTATATGCTACACAATTGTTAGAGGGGGTAAACGGGGATGTAGACAGGAGGAGAGGGAAGCAGGAAATTATGTAATATTTTAATGAAAAAAGAACAACATATGACTTTCACATTCTCTTAGAATGACTGAGGAGCTTTGCACCATGATAACAAGTGTTGTTTAATTTCTGTATCCATACCCATATTCTCATGTTTTTCCTAATAGCAGTTGCATGCATTCACATAATAGGGTAAAGATTTTAAAGCACATGAGAACTCAGGATAAATGGACAATAAAGTTTGCTTAACAAGCAAAGATAAAGTTGGAACACAAAATTCATCACAAGAGTTTACTTAATTGGAAAAATACACAGAGTTGGACTAACTCTTCCTAACCAATACACTGTCTCACTACCAACAATGCAAAGGCTTCTACAGAATCAGTTAATCAATGTGGTCCCTATAAAAATTCCAAAGTTCTATTTTTCACATCAATTGAAAAGAATAAAGTTGGTATAGAACAGCAAAAACCCAGATAGTTAAAGCAGTCTTAAGAAGAAACAGGCTACTCATCCAGTAACTGATGGAAGCAGGTGCAGAGATTCACAGCCAAGCAACAGGCCAAGTTCTGGGAGTCCAGTCAAAGAGAAGGAAGAGGGATTGATTCTATGAGCAAGGGGTGGTCAAGATCATGGTGGGGACATCTACAGAGATAAGTGAACCAAGCTTGTCAGAACTCACAAACTTTAAACCAACAGCTGTGGAACCCGCATGGGACTGGACTAAGCCCTCTGCATATGAAAGACAGTTGTGTAGCTTCATCTGTTTGAAGGGCCCCTGGCAGTGGGATCTGGATCTTTCCCTGGTGCATGTGCTGGCTTTTTAGAGCCCTTACCTATGGTGGGACACCTTGCTCAGACTTGATGTAGGGGGTGGGGAAGGGGCTTGGTCCTGCCTCAACTGAATGTGCCAGGCTTTGCTGACTCCCCAATAGGAGCATTTACTCTTTGGAGGAGGGGGTTGTGAGGAGCAGGAGGAGGGATGAGAGGGAGATCTGTGATTAGTATGTAAAATGAATAACAAAATTTCGTTAAAAAAACAGACTAAACGGTCATATTTCCTGTTTTCAATATTTATGAAGCTTTGATCATCTAGAACCTAAGACCAAACCACTATGAACACAGCTGATCTCTGATCTCAAGAAGCTAAACAGGCAAGGGCCTATTAGTACTTGGATAGGAGACAAAGCTTTGATAATCCAAGTATTATTGTGCTGTCATAAAATAGACCTGCAGCTTTCTCCGCCAAGCAGGGTAGAGATCCCGGAAATAAGCATATACATGTGTGATCAACTTACTAAAAAGAATACCAAAGGATACATAAGAAAGGACTGTGTCTGTGGTGAAGGATACTGGAAAGATCAGACTTCCATATGCAGAAGGATGCAACTGGATACTTTGCCTGCATCATTTACAATATCACCTATTGTGGGCTAAGATTTAAAATCTAAATCCTGAAATTGTAAAATACCTTGGGTAAAATGGGACATCTCTGGAATTGGCATTGATCTTGATAATTAGTTATTTGGATGTGATACCCAAAACACAAAAACGAGCATGCACACACACACACACACACACACACACACACACACACACACACACACACGCAGAAATAAGCAAATTGACCCACATCAAACTAAAAGGTTTCTACACAGCAAAGGAAATAATCAAATAAAAAGGGGGACTGATAGATTCGATGACAGCATTTGCAAACCATGTATCTGAAAAATTAATATCCAAAATTTATAGGAAGTAGTTAGGAAAATGGCTCATTGGTTAAAAACAATTGTTCTTGTGGAGGACCTGGGTTCAGTGCCTAGCACTCACATGATGGCTCTCACCATCCATAACTTGGGTTCCAGGGGATCCAACAACCTTTTTGTACCTCTGCATGCACAAAGCACCCACATGGTACATGTACATACTTTCAGGCTAAACACTCACGAAATAAATCTAAAAAGAAAATAAATGTATATGGAGAACTCAGTACAGTTGGGGTAGTACATGTCTGTAATCCCAGAGCTATTAAAAGGCAAAGGCAGGAGGGTCATGAGTTCCAGATCTGCCTGAGATTGAATACATATACTTGGAATTCACTGTAGTATATCCTAACTGTTCTCACCATGCATAAAAATATGTGAAGTATTTGAAGAGATAGATGTATAGGTTTTCATGATTGTAGAGAGCAGTATACTATGTATATCAAAATCTGTACACCTTAAATATAATTTCACTTTCAAACTAAAAAGAAATAAAAGAAATGCTGGTCACATGCAAATTGTATTTAAGTAGGATTTTCTGTTGTCTATTTGTAGGAGCTAAAAATTGCAGGGTAATGATTTTTATTTGAAGAGGATTTCCTCTAAGTTGTTGCAGTCATTCCTAGGGTTTTTCAGCTTGAGATGTATTCTATCAAGTATGGTTATAATGATTATAATATTCAATTAATGTTAATGTTTAAGTTATGTAAATGCAAGCTGATTATAGGTGTATATGTTTATATCATGATTAAATGACTGGCTTGCTCAACCCTCTAGACACAGTATTGGCTTGTATCCAAATCAAGCTTGTATTCAACACATCATTCAGAAAAGTGCTTACCCAGCCCATAAGAATGGACAAGCCAAAAAAAAAGTTAGGTAAAAGTGTCTGTCTCCAAAATACCCTATTAATTGCCTAGATGCAATTCTGCTGCAAAGAAATTGTGTAACCAAGCAGTGATGATGTCCTTTTATCTATTTTCTTCTGCCTTGTCCACCAAACCTACCTACAGCTAGTCTGAAAAACTAAGAGTAGTGCAGCTACAATCCAAACAACTAGGTTATACACCCCTGAATGTTATGCCCAAACCCATGAATGCTGCTTTAGTTAGGAATACTTATGAGAACAAGGTTCACACAACCAAAAAAGGTACACCAAAGGTTACAATCTGAATCTGAAATGTTCCCCCCACCCCATACTCACGTAATGAAAATATGTTTCCCCTTTGTTGGTGTTATTTTAGGATGTAGTGAAACCTTTGGAAGATGAGATCTGGCCTAACTAGCAAAAACACATCCTAAGGATGGGAGTTTAAAGGATATACTGTCTAGCCTTGGGTTGCAGCATGACCTCTGCTTTCTGGTCCACCATGATGTGAACAGCTGCACAAGACTGCTGCAGTGACCTCCCCATCACGATGGATTGAAACCATGTTCCAAAATCCTTCCCTCGAAATCTTTTTGCAAATGGACTCATAGCAACATAAAAGTAATCCATACCCCCAAAAAATGTCTCCCTTCATGAATTATAGCCTCTAAAAACATCATTATCTGAAGAAACTTATTGAGCTCATAACTCATAGTCCATTGAAGGGCAAAGAATGTTATTTAAAGTTACAGTCTTGTGCAGTTATTGGATTTATTACTGAATAATGAAAGGCCAGCGACAGTTATTGGGATGGTACTTTTTTCCTCATATAGAATACTGGCTTGAGGAACAAAGATGTGTATTACAGAAGAAAATTATTTTAGAAACAGACTTGCTCTTCAAGGAGAGTGTTGAGTAAACTGATGAAGCCCTAATCTAGGAGAAGTAGGATAG